GTTTCATTGACTATGCAAAGGCGTTTGACTGTGGATCATAACAAACTGAGGCTGACTCTGAGAAGAATGGGGATCCCAGAACACTTGGACCAAGGGGCAGTCGTCAGAACAGAGCAAGAAAACACTGTATGTTTCAAAATTGGGAAGGGCGTATGCCAGGGATGTGTCCTGTCTCCATACCTTTTCAACCTGTATGCAGAACAGATTATCCGGGAGGCTGGGCTCTATGAGGAGAAATGTGGGGTCAGGACTGGTGGAAGATCTATCAATAATCTGCGTTATGCAGATGACACAACCCTGCTTGCTGAAACTGAGGAGGACCTGAAGCGCTTGCTGCAGAGGGTCAAGGACTGCAGCCTTCAATATGGATTGAGGCTCAACGTCAAAAAGGAAAAGATTCTTACCACTGGACCAACTGACAGCATCAGGATGGATGGTGAAGAAAGTGAGATTATTCACAGCTTTAGTTTGCTTGGCTCCACAGTTAACATTCGTGGCACCAGTAGCTAGGAAATTAAAAGACGTATTGTGATGGGGAAACCTGCTGTTAAGGAACTCTCCAAAGTACTGAAGAGCAATAGTGTCTCTCTGGAGACTAAGGTGCATCTGATACAAGCCATGGTCTTTGCAATCACTTGTTATGCATCAGAGAGTTGGACAATGACTAGGGATAATAGAAGGAGAACTGATGCCTTTGAGCTGTGGTGCTGGAGAAGAGTCCTGAGGGTACTATGGACTGCTAGGAACACAGATAGATTCATCCTGGAGAGGGTCAAATGGGTGACTCCTTGGAGGCAAGGATTCTGAGGCTCTGTCTAACATACTAGGAGGGACCGGTCCCTGGAGAGGGACATCATGCTTAGGAGGGTGGAGGGACAGCGCAGGAAGGGAAGGCCCTCTATGAGGTGGATTGATTCAATGACTGGGGTAATCAGGATGGGTGTAGCAGAGACGGTGTGATTGGCACAGGACAGAGCAGAGTTTAGGGCTGTTGTACATAGGGTCTCTATGAATTGCAAGCGACTCGACGGCACATAACAACAACAACAGCATGCTATGGAGACACTGCTGACTTAGCACGAGCGATGTGTGGTCTCTGCGAGCCCTCTGCTGTCCAGGACTGAGAATGCAGATATCGAGGCTGCCCATCCCGGACCAAGACATGGCTTCCAGCAGCTTTGATCATGTGGGTTTGAGGTGCCGGAAGGCAAGCAATGGCCCTTTGAAAGACATCTGAGTCCCTCTCTGGAGCTGATGCCAGGGCTCAGGTGAGAAAGGGACAGAGGCACAAGTTAGCTCTGTCTCCCACAGGGATATGGCTTCAACCCTGGTGAGGGGGCCCAGCTCTCAGAGCACCTGCAGCAGCCGCTGGGCAACATACAGGGGTCACAGGAAAGCCTTTGCCTAGTGCCGCCACCTCCCTGTAGCCACCTGACCATGCCACCATCTTCCTCTGCCTACCTGCCCCCTTCTGTGTCCACCTGTTCCTTGCCACCCTCTACCTGCGTCTACCTGCCCCGTGCCCTCTACTCATGCCCACCTGCCTCTTACCACCCACTTCCCTTGCCCACCTGCCCCCTGCCTCCCTCTACCCATGTCCACCTACCCCATGCCACCCTCTACTCTTGCCCACCTGCCCCCTCTACCCATCCAACCTGCCCACACTCTGCCCTCCCTGTGCCCACCTGTCCCATGCCACCCTTGTGCCAAGGCTTCATCTTTATGTACTGCTTTGGGAACATGAAATGTCACAGCTGTGGCAAACAGCTGAGCAGGTCTTCAAAAAACGAAATCTCCAACCGTCAAGTATCCAGCAAATCTAGCTATACCTAGGCATCTACTCAAGAAAAATGAGCAGATTCCTGTACAGACTGCACACAGACTGCCACTGGTGGTGCCGTCAAGTTGGCATAGCGACCTCACGTCCAACAGAATAAACCCCTCCGGCCCTGGGCCGGCCTCAGCGCCTCTGCTGAGCTCAAGTCCACTACTGCAGCCACTGTGTCCATGGTCACTGAGGATTTTCCTGGGGTTTTACAATCATTTTAAATAGTGGCTTGTGTGAAAGTTCACATAGCAAATAGTTAATAACCATGTACACAGGTTTGGTTCTACAGCATTAATCACAATACCCATATTTAACCATGCTCCTCCTGAGATTCTCATTTCCAGTCATCCTTCTCCCTTACCCCTTTCTGCCTCTTGGGCTTTGTGACTGGCCTAGTGCTGCCCCTCTGACCTCACATGGTTGTTCATTTTAAGATGTGCGTGGCTGCTGAAGCCATCTGACAGGCCAAGAGGTGTAGTCTGTAGTGAGCCACTACTCGCCCGAGCTCAGACGGCAGGGCGTGCTGGAGTGCCCACCTCCCCACTGTGCAGCTCAAGGTCGGTCCATGCGGCTGGACCTCACTCTTTCCAAGGTGACTAAGGGCCATAGACCCAGGGTCCCAGAGACTCTGTCAGGTCAGCCTGGCCTTTTATGGTTTTGCACTCTGTTCAACATTTCCACCCTCTCAATTCATGGTCTGCCATCATCACCCCATTTCCAGGAGTCCGCAGGCATGGAAGCCACACACCATCTAGCTCTGGTCTCAGCGTGGTGGACGTTGAGGTTGGCGTGGTCCCTTAGTCTTTGTACAGATTGTTTCTGTACAGCTTTGCAATTCTTCGCTCTTTGCTCCAGATTGGGAGAAGCAAACAGCTGCACCTTGTGTATTCAACTGCTTACAGGATTCTAGGGTCACTGTGTGTGTGTGTCCTTCTCCAGGGACTGGCCCCACCTGGTAACATCCCCAAATGTACTGGGATGAAGCCTCACCATCTTCACTTCGAAGGAAGGAGCATTCCTGTTGTACGGCTATCAAGGCAGATTTTCCTTCTGGCGGTCCCCGTAGTCCACACGTCACCAATGCCACCAATCACAGCAGCTTTATCAGTGATAGCCAAAAACGGCAACGCTCAAGGGTCTATTCACGGGTGGACCCGTACAAAGTCACAGCCAAAGACAGGAGGCTCTGAGGCCTTTTGGCTGGGCCTTTCCCTCAATCTCTAAAGTGCAGATGCTCTTCAAAAACCCTGCCCGGACCTTTCCTCCGCACTTTCCTTTGGCAGCTTCATCCATCCTGTGATTGCTCGCCCTCCATCCCTGCTCTCCTCAGTCCCCATGACAACCCAAGAGGGAGGCGGGAGGAGGTCCCCTGCTCTGGGGCCTGAGCGCTGAGCGGAGCTGCAGAGGCAGAAGTCTGCCTGATCAATGTCCAGCTCTCCTCCCCCCTTAGCTCAGGAACCTGTCCTCTTGAATTTGCTCCAGAATTCTCACTTGTACAGCAGTTTCTAGACTCCAGAACACAACTGTCCACTGCTGTTCTGGACCTTGTGGTCCTTCAGCTGGGTGGGCCCTTCCTCAAGGAAGATCAATCAGCTCTATGTTGTGGGTTGAACATGACAAACAGGCCCTTCCTGCACAGGGCTGGCTGGTGAAGTGGCTGTAACCAGCAGGTGCAGATCAATTCCTGGTTGACCTGCTCGGAAGGGGCTGTTGAAGAGTCCGGGTGGGGTGGGTTAGAGTCTGTTTGGACGACATCACGTCTGCATTAAGGCTTAAAGATGGGAATAACAGAGTCTGGGCACAAAGATGGAGCCTTGGACAAAACACGAGGAAAGGTTAGAGGCTGAAATCCATTAACTAGATGGATCCTTCTCTGTGGGGAATTGTGATAACCACGGAATATTGGCCATCGACTCGCTCTTGATTCAGCCATGAGTCAGTTCCAATTCAACAGCAGTTGAGATGAATCAACAGCACTTGTTACACAAGATAGAGGACCATCTAGGGAGCTCTGGTGGCCTAGCGGGAAGCAGCTGCTCCAGGAGGATGGGCAGTCTCCTCCCATGTGATGAACTGCCTTTGAAAACCTGCCAGAGTGAGCTACAGGGCGGTTCCGACTCTCAGTACTTACCAAGTCAGTTCCAATTTGACAGCAGTGAATCAACAACTGTTGGAAGAGATACAGCTATATGAAGTGTCAGTACATTTTGAAAAATGTTCATTCTTATTTCTTTTAAAAAGTGACAGAATCGCTCAGTCAGACCCTAGGACCAGGACTGATACGTGGGTCACAGAAGGAAGGGAGGCCTGCTTTGCGAGAATGAGACACACAGGAGTCAGGGACAGAGCAGGACTCAGCCAGGGTCCTCCCCAAGAGGCTGGCCGCTCCCACCCCCCAATGCCACCTTGAAACCGTGGTCATTTCTGTCCACCTGGGAACTAGGATATGTTAAAACTTTGTCAATTTTTTTTCACTTGATATTGCACTCATCATGATGTGCTCCAGGGTCCCTCATGTTGTGTAATGTTCTACAAGTTCACTGTTTTCAGTGTTGCATAGTATTCCATTATATGTATACCATAGGTTTTTTTGTTCCTTGTTGATGGGCATTTAGGTTGCCTCCATCTCTTTGCTATTGTAAATAAGCAGGTCTGAGATGGGGGGTTAGGAGGGGAATAGGGTAACAGTGAACAGAAAATGATAACTTACTGAACAAATGAAGGAAAGAACTGTCTGAAAAGAATATATGATTAGGCTTTACATGTACAACAGCACAGAATAAGAGGTCTATCATTGCCAAGAGGACTGGAGGAGGGGAAGAAGAGAGGTAATTGTGCAGCAATGATTTTTTTCTGCAAATGTTCATGAAAATGACTATAAAAATAAAATTTTATTTAAAAAATAAATAAAACCTCATCAAACCCCCAACACCGAGAACAATGGACCCTACCCCTAGTTCTGTCAAGAGTCCCCTTACGTGACTCAGGCAGGTTGTGGTAACAAACGCGAACACGGGGAGGAGGAGGAGTGTTTCAGACACAGACACACAGGGCGCTCACGTAAACGGCTGTTTATTAGCACTGTCAATGGGTGACAAGTAGTTTCCAGTAAATATATAGAGCTGTGCGCAGGTGACAGACAAGCCAAGAGTCGAGCAGGACGCACGTGGCCTTATTTTTTCCATTCATTCTTCTCGTAGTCCCACTTGGCGGCGAAGCCCTGGATTGGGTTGGCCTTCATGTCCAGCATCCGCTTGGTCTGCATGGCCACCCAGTCCTCGTCTAAGGTGTGCGGGACGGGGCCGTACACTGCATGAGGGAGAGCAGGTGGGGTCAACGAGCCAGCCAAAAGGGCACCTAGTCCTGCCATCAAGGTGCGTGTGTACGCACGCACGGAGGGCTTGGAAGGAAGGGCGCCCGGTACTGCTGCCGATGCCCACTCACACCCACGCTCTCTCACACATCAACACACAGCAAGCCACACACACGGTGAGCCGGGCAGGGAGGGCTCCCAGCCCTACCACCAACTCTAGATCTCCATCTGTCCATCCATCAGGTACACACACAGTGAGGAAGATGAGATTTCCCAGGACTGCCACCAATCCCTTCTTCCCCGTCACACAAACGCGCGCCGTGGGCACAAGCGCTAGACTCTCAGTGAGGCACCCGCCCGCCAAATGACCAACAGGCAGCACAGGTCCTCCACAGGAAGCAGATGGCAGGTCCACAGCCCCACAGCCAACTGGACACACAGCCCAGGAGCCTTGGAGACCAGACATGGTCACAGGGCTGGTGTGATCCCACCACCCTTTTCCCCCAGAGCCATGGCCACAGTTTTTCTGAGGACCATGTGTCTACTGTCCCCAAGGGAAACCCTCCAGAAGGACTGCTCAGCAGACACACTGCTGAGTGGGACATGCCAGGAAATGTGGGGCACTTCTATCCCAGACAAAGGAGGCTCCCACGGCTTCAGCTGGCCCTGCCAGCGTTTCACGCCTGGCTAACCCGAAGGCAGGCTCTAGCATGGAGGTGCCATCCGTGACTTGCTGCACACACACTTCGGGGCCAGGGAACAGAGGGTCCCCCACTTACCATAGCGCTTCATCCAAATGACAACGAAGGCTGCGAGGCCGATGAAGAAGAGCGCGCCGCCCACCACCGTCTTCCACTCATTCGTGGTCCTGTTCATCTCAGCAAAGGTCTCATTGAACTTCATGTGGTACACTGGACACAAGGGGCAGGCAGTTCCTCAGCGCTCCCAGCGCCCAGCCCCAGCACACACCATGCACACACACCACCCCGCCGCCTGTGGCGTCAGCATCCACACACCCATCACCCTCTCCTGGCTCCACTGGCAGGTGGCCATCGTGGGTCCAAGAGAAAGCAAGCCGTGGGGACCCGAGGTAAACACTCCTTGCAGAGCCTGTGGCCCTGAGCCGAGGACTCAGTGTGTAGAGCACACACCAGACCCCCGACCCAAACCTGGGTCCTGGACTGTGGCTGCTTAAACACCTCAGTGCCAGCAGGACTGCAGGACAGAGAAGGCTGGGGGCCTGTGTCCCAGCAGTCTAGAGAGGAGCCTGAGGACGGCCTCACCCCGTGATGTGGAGCCACTGTTCCCAACTGGACATGCTCGCTGCTCTTACTCTAAGAAAGCAGGTTGCTGGGAACAGAGCTCTTGGGGAAGGTGATGGCCAAGTAACGCAGTTTGTTTAAGTAAAGTCACTGAACTATGAGGACTACTAGACAGCAAGCGTTTGGTTATGAAGGTATTTTCCACACTTACAGACACAATTAAAACTTTTCCACTTTGGTGCTCAAGGGGACCACATCAAGCCATGCCAAGCTCCTCCAGGACACACTGAGCTCTTCTCTAACCTAAATGCAGCTCCCACCGCAGTGACCTTACACCAGCTGCAGAGACCATAAGTCTTTATGGAAAGAGACTCCCATCTTTGTGCTGTGAAGCAGCTGGTGGACTAGAACTGCTGACCTAGTGACTGGCAGCCTGTGTCATTATACACCATTCCACCGGGGCTCCCTTTAACCATAACAGCAAGGGAAGGAGCTGCCTCTACAAGCCACGCCCTGCCCACACCAGCCTTCTCTCCAGCACAATCGTATCAGCGCCTACACAGGCTCCAGGTCCCACCAAGATTACTGAACTGTCACCAGGTGAGTCAGAGCTCTAACCAGGCCCAGGACCTAAGGACTTGACCCCCAGCTGTCGTTCTGCTCAGCTGACCCTCCTCCCTCAGACCAATCCCGCTGGGCTGTGGGCAGCCTAACTCCTCCAGATACTCACGCTCCACTTTCTCCTCCATGGAGAGCGCGCTCCAGGCAGCCTTCTCCTTCTCCTTCAGGGCCTTCTGCTGGGCTGAGAGGTTCCTGACAAAGGCCACATCGGGCAGCGGGTAGTCACGACGGTCGACATATGCCGGCAGGGTATAGTCTTCAGACTTCACAACGCTTCCTGAAAACGACGTTCAAGCATTTAAAACTCACACAGCCTGTCACAAGGAAGCAGCATGTGGGTGCCACGCTGGATGCACCACACCTCTGGGGCTGTGCGATCTCGGAAGGACTGTGAACAGGACAGGACATACTTGTCCTGCACAAGATGATGAAGCTGATGGACAGACTTGGGCACTTCCTCCCATGGCAAGCAGAGGCCGGCAAGCTGTCACTGTCAACCTCAGCACTGCGCCACCACTGAGGGTGGTCAAGCAGAGGTGGACAGCCGCTCTCTGGGTTCCATGTTTGGACCCAACCCAAAAGTCCAGCTCCCGGCCATCAAGCTGACTCAACTCCTAACCACCTTCCAAGGCGGAGCAAACCACTGCACAGGGTGTCCTAGGCTGCCGTCCGTCCTCCAGGAGCTGCTGTCATATCCTTCTCCTATAAAGCGACTGGAACTTTCAACCACCGAACACCTAACCCAGTGAGCCAGCCAGGCTCCCTCAGGCCTAGAGACGGTGCTGAACGCAGGCGGGGCCTTCTGAAAGAGCACTAACCTGAGAGGAACAATTCATACTGGGCCTGGGACCACTCGAGAGCCACAGATGGGAAACAGAAAACCCAAGAAACGCCGATGCAACAAGCTAAACAGAAAAAGCAGGCCACAAAACAATAACGTGTTTAACTTAAATCACGTGTATAAATAAACACACAAGCACTATTGGAAAAGGAAACCTCAAACTGTTACCAAAGGAAGAGAACAGAGCATGGCGCTCACCAGGTTATTCCCTGGAGTCAACGTCTAACTGTGAACAGGTCTGCACACTGATGTGCGACTGCTGTGCTGCCATCAGGTGCTGGGGTCGAGCACAGCTCAGATCTGAACCCTGTCCTATCCTGTGCCATCAACTCCGACACACCTGGGCCCATTCAGCAGTCACTGTGTCAGTCCATCTCACTGGGGGCTCTTCCTCTGCCGCCATGCCTCCATCTTTCCAAGCACAATGCCCTTCTCCAAACAACAGCCTCTTCCTAAGAACAGGCCAAATCAAAGTCCGTGACTTGAAGTGTTACCATCTTCGCTCCAAGGAGCACTCCGGCTGCACTTCGCCAAAGACACTATGTTTATGCTTTTGGGGTTCCATGGGGAACTGAGTACTCTTCTCTAGCACCACAGCTCAAACACTTCAGTAATACTTCTGGGAAGAAGTGTGCCCAGTGGACTATGATTTGTCCCAGTTGAGGGAAGCTGACTATCAAATTTAAAAACAGTAGACCAAATGCTGTTTCGGTAAATGAGGGAAGCTTGATACAAACTGAAGGCCACCTTGTGGGGCATTCCCTAGGAGTTAACATTGTTCTTAGTTTGTGTCAAATGAACCCCTCCCTCTTGAGATTAGCATAAAGAGGAACTTGGCCAAGTAAAAGACTTCACCATTATACTTTATTTTGTACTTCCTTGTGATTTTACTTTTTTTATCTTATGATTCTAAATAAATACTCAGAGAAGCATGGCTTGAGGTCTTCAGTCGAGAAATGCTGACCCCGTTTTATGCTCTCTGCTCTATCTCATTCCAGGCTGTTTGTCTCTTTACTAATAATTATAAAATTATTCTATTCTTTGGGACCCTCGGTCTGCAACACCCAGTCATCTGCTCTGAGGGAAAGTGTGGCAAGACAATACTGCTCTTAGCAGACTTGTTTCAGAGTCTGTGTCTGATACCACGCTAGGTTGTATACAGGAGAGTAAGCAAGCATCAGCTGAGGGGTGCAAGATACCCCCAGGCCCAGCCTCACATAAAGCTGGCCTCAGTGAGAGAGCATTAGATCAAGACATCTTCCAACATCTGCAGTGGCCCTGAGACCAGGTGAGCTACCATGCCCGACTCATTCCCATGCCTGCTTGCTCTGCCGTTTGCCTAATATGCATTCCTCTCGTGTATGTGAGGCTAAAGCTTTTCATCTTCCAGTACAAGGACCACCTAGCTCCCTAACCCTGAGTCGGGCTGTGTCTGTCCATCTAGGGATGGTTACCACTAACGCCCACATCTTGTATTGTGCTGGACAGACGCCTGATAAGCACAGAGCTAAACCCACACACAGGGCTGAGCTCCAGATACACTTCTCAAGTCAGGACACAGGTCCCTGGTCCAGAAGGAACTGAAGAACTCTAGCTTGGTCTGAGAAGTACAGCTTCGTTCACATCCACTGTCTCTACAACGTCAACATTATTAGAGTGGTTGGGAGTATCGTGGGAGGGTCAAACTATAAGGTCAAGCATGCTGGAGATCACCTGAATGTAGTAAAACAAGTAAACCTGAAGAGACAGGCAGGAGGAAAAGTAAAGGAAGAAAAAGAAAATCATAACATAAACATAAGTGAAGACTACTATTTCAAATGGCTGCACACACTCTTGGATCCAGAACCATGCCTCAGTGAGATCTTTACAACTCCCAAAACCCTCCACAGTCAGCAGATTGGGAATTCCAGCAACCAGGAGAGGGATTTACAGAGAAACACACAGTTCAGCTTGCTCAAAAGTAAGACAATTCTACTTACCATGCGCTCGCAGGCACACTGAGGTGGAGATGGCGCGCTTGCCAACGAGGCTCAATACCCTGGTGGCCAACATTCTGAAAGAGAGAAACACACGGCTTCTCTGTGAAGGATCCCAGGCACGAATCTGCTGTCGCTTGGACATGGATGTCTGGAACTTTTGATTTTCAGCTACTCTCCAGCGTACACAGCTGGCTCTCTGTGTCTTACACTCAACAATCACCCAGGGGGAGGTCTTTACAGCACTTTTCACTGTAAACCTCACACCGCAATAAAGGGCTTAGAGACTTAGTAGAAAATTAACCTTCTTAAAAATATCAAGAGGAACTGCAAGGAGGCGGCTTTTAAAAAAAAAGGTGTACGGTGAGGGCCGCACTCTCGGCAAACACCGGTCACTCTTCGAGCTAGGCATGCGTTAACTTAAATGGTGTTATTCCTGCTACAGACCCAGTACATGGACGGGACCGAGGAACACTGCACAAGATGGACCGGCCCCATGCAGATACTACAATGCAGGAACCCACCTACTGCCAGGCCCAGACCAAGAACAAGGAGGATGAAGACTCAAAAAATGTCAACAAAGGGAGTGAAGAGCCACTGGGCTGAACCACAATGGGAGGCCCCTCCCTCCTTCCCTCAAAGACCTTTACTATCAAAACCTGCCCCCACCCACCTGGTGGTTGTTGTTATGTGCCATGGAGTCATAATGACCTTATGTACAACAGCCCTAAACTCTGCTCTATCCTGTGTCAATCTCACTTTCTTCAAAACACCCACTCCGATTACCACAGTCATTGAATCAATCCACATCATAGATGGTCTTCCTCTCCTATGCTGTCCCTCCACCCTCTTAAGCATGAGGTCCCTCTCCAAGGACTGGTCCCTCCTTGCAACATGTCCAAAGTATGCCGACTAAGGCTCAAAATCCTTGCCTCCAAAGAGCCACCCAGTTTAGCCCTCTCAAGGACAAATCTGTTCGTTTTCTTAGCACTCCATGGTATATTCAACACTCTTCTCCAGCACCACAGCTCAAAGGCATCAATTCTCCTTCTATCATCCCTTGTCATTGTCAAGCTCTCTGATGCATAGAAAGTGACTGTGAAGACCATGGCCTGTATCAGGCACATCTCGGTCTCCAGAGTGTCACCACTGCTCTTCAGTACTTTGGAGAGGTCCCTAATAGCAGAATTTCCCATCGCAGTATGTCTTTTAATTTCCTGGATGCTGGTGCCAAGAGTGTTGACTGTGGGGTCAAGCAAACTAGAGCTGTTAACAATCCCTCTCTTCACCATCCGTCCTGATGCTGCCAGTTGGCCCAGTGGCAAGAATCTTTGTCTTCTTGATGTTGAGCTTTAATCTATATTGGAGGCTGCAGTCCTTGACCTTCTGCAGCAAGCACTTTAGGTCCTTCTCAGTTTCAACAAGCAGGGTTGTGTCATCTGCATAATGCAGATTGTTGATGGATCTTCCATCAATCCTGATACCACATTTCTCCTCAGAGAGCCCACCTTATGGCTCGGTTTTCCCCCGGTCTGTCTCTCCAGACCAAGGAATCCCACCCGGGAGCCCCCTCTTTAAAGCGTCTTTAAGCTTTCTTTCTGGTCCCTTCCTCGAGACCCTGGCCTTCCATCCAGTGCATAGACCTAAGTACGCTCTCGCTGGGGCCCTTTCTGACTCGGGCTCATCCACTCATCAAAGCCCCTGCACACCGCTGTCTAGTCCCTTCCGATTCACGGCCGCCACCCCGCAGGACTGAATCCAACTGCCAACAGGATCTGCGAGGATCTTGGCAGGATACGGCCAGAGCGGCTGCTGAGTGCGATCGGTGGCCTTTCGGTCTGAAGCCGCACGCTTTAACCACTGCGTCACTGGGGCATCGCCCACTCCCCCACCCACCCTCCCGGGGAAGCTGGATCCTTGCGGGCGCGGTGAAGGAGGGAGAGGGGCATGGACGCAGCAGCCACCAGGACCGACCGGCCAGGCTGTCAAGATCGAGCGAGCCTTTTCTCCCCGGGCCTGGCCCGTGCGAGGGCCGACGGGGTGCGCCTTCCGCGCCAACCAGCGGAACGCCTCTGGCGAGCCCCGTTAACCTGGGCGGCGGCGCCCCGTGGAGGTGATGGCTGCAGCGGGGACACGGGCGCCCTCGGCTAGCGGGCACCTCAAGGTCAGGGCCTGAAGCCAACCTGGGGCCACGTCTCGCCCTGGCAGCCGGGCCGAACGCCCCTGGGGGGGAACAAAGGCTGCAGCCCGGTGGCCCCGGAGCCCGCAGACCCCGCGCGCGGGCCTCAATGTCACCGCGCTGCGAGGCCCAAGCGCTGCGTCCCGTCCAGCCCCGGACCCTCGGCGCCGGCGGGCGCGCGCCCAGTGCCCCGACCTTCCTCGGCCTCCCCGCACGGCCCCGGCCAGCCCAGCCTCACCTGCCGCAGGCTTCCATCCACTGGCTACCGCGACCTCCCTCTGCGCCCCAGCGGCTCGCGACCGGAAGAGAGCGAGGCGGCGCCGCAAAGCACCACGGGATGCAGGAAGGCCCCGCGCCCGGCCGCCGGAGGTCAGCGGAAGGCGGCGTGCGCGGCGGCCGTCGTGAAAGGTCGCGCGCCGCGTGGCTTTCCGGCAGGCGCTGGGAGGCCGGTTTCCGGCCGGAGCCGCGGGCGACGGGCTGAGTCGCGGCGTCGCGGGCCGGGCCGGGCCGGAGGCGGGGGACGGCGGGTTGTCTCCGAGCGCCCCGGTTCGCGGCGGGGACGGGCTTCCGAGGGCCTCTGCCAGTCGGGAAGTCGCCACCACCTCGTCCCGCTTCTCCGCCGAGGCACCGCGTGACAGGGCTGTGAGTCCCAGGCCTACGGCGCGCGTCCAGGTCCTCCCGGGCCACCCGGGCTCAGCATGCCCGGGGTGAAGCTGACCACCCAGGCCTACTGCAAGATGGTGCTGCACGGCGCCAAGTACCCGCACTGCGCCGTCAACGGGCTCCTGGTGGCCGAGAAGCAGAAGCCGCGCAAGGAGCACCTCCCTCTGGGCGGCCCGGGCGCCCACCACACGCTCTTCGTGGACTGTATCCCCCTCTTCCACGGCACTCTGGCCCTCGCCCCCATGCTCGAGGTGGCCCTCACCCTGGTAAGCACCAGAAGGGCCAGGTCTGCCCTCCGGTCGGCGGGAGGGGAGCTCGGCCCCGCGCGGGTGTCCAGGGGGAGTCCCACCCGGAGGTGGACACGGCGCAAGCTCGGCCCCGCGCGGGTGTCCAAGGAGGGTCCCACCCACCCGGTGGTGGACACGGCGCAAGCTCGGCCCCGCGCGGGTGTCCAGGGGGTCCCACCCGGAAGTGGACACGGCGCAAGCCCGGCCCCGCGCGGGTGTCCAGGGGGTCCCACCCGGAGGTGGACACGGCGCAAGGCGTGGGGGCGGCGGTGAGGGGTCCTCGGCGCAGTAATCGGTTTCACCGCGGAGGAAAGAGCTGGCGGTCCGTGGCCGTGCAGATGGCCGGCCAGGGCGTTGGCTCGGGGTGCAGGTGGACGGTGCGTCCCTCCGACCGCCGAGCCCGCCCTGGGTCAGGTTTCGTCCGGGGTCTGGGAGCGGACGTGGGTGCGAAGGCCCGGGCCCGCGGTCAGGAGGGCAGCGCCGGCGCCTGGACACTGTCCGTCCTGGGACCGTGGGAGGGCAGCCGACCCCAGGGCTCGGGGGGGCAGCTCCAGAGCTGGGGGCTCGTGTTGTGTGCATTGAGATTGAGGCTGAGTCCGTGGTGTTAGCGGCTAAGGTGTGTCCTGCACAATTACAGAGGACAGGAGCGGGCAGCGCCTCCGCCCAGACTCGCTGCCGTGGTGGACACGGGGCCAGGGACAGCACTTTGTTGTGACCTTGAAGGTACAGGAGCGTCCCCAGGGCGCCCAGGAAGCTACCTGCTCTCAGAGCCACCTGTCTGCACGGAGGGTCTCTGTCTGATGCCTCTGTACGCTGTGTCCTTAGGAAGGTGGGGGTCATTCCTGTCGAACCCCACGCAGAGCTCTGTCACGGAGTGGGTCCCGACTCCTGGAGACTCGGAGGGCAGAGTCCAGCTGCCCAGGGTTCCCAGGCGGTCAACGGAAGCTGGCTGCCCAGCCTTCTCTTGCAGAGCAGCTGGTGGTTCTAACACCTTATGGGTAGAGGCCAGGTGCTCTAACCACAGTGCCAGACCGGCTCACTGAGTCCGGTCGGGTCCTGTCACGGTTTGGTTTGCTGGCTGCGAATCTCTCATCTGAGACGGCCTTCCTTCCAGAGGGACTGGTGCGTTCAAACCGGACCTTTCTGGTGATAAATAGCCTGACACTTCACCTGCTGTGCCTCCAGGGCCCCAGGAGTCCACCAATGGAGAGTGACAGTTGAGAAATTGTGGGTGGAAATCCCTTTTCTGTGCTTCCAACTGAAGAAAATACTTTGCTAATTAACCTAATTAAAAAGTAAGCCGGCAGGACGTCAGCCTGACATTACTGGGCACATTTTAGAAGGCCTGTTAAAATGAAACTCAGACAACTATGAGATATCATCTCACCCCAGTAAGAATAGCAAAATATAACAGAACAGCAAGCAGCAATTGCTGGCGAGGATGTGGAGAAACTGGAACTCTTATTCACTGTTGGTGGGAATGTAAGATGGTGCAACCATTGTGGAAGGCGGTGTGGCACTTTCTCAAAAAGTTGCAAATAGAGATACCATTTGACCCAGCAAACCCATTACCGGGAATATACCCCAGAGAGACCATGTCCGCCATCCAAGCAGATATATGCACACCCATGTTTATTGCAGCTTTGTTTACAATAGCAAAGAGTTGGAAGCAGCCTAAGGGCCCATCAACAAACGAATGGATAGAGAAGCTGTGGTATATCCACACAATGGAATACTATGCAGCATTGAAAAACAAGGAACTCAAGCAATATCATTCAAAGTGGGTGACCCTGGAAGACATTATGCTGAGTGAAATATCTCAGTCACAAAGGGACAAATACTGCATGGTGCCACTGTTGTAGAATGGGTCTGACATCAGGGTGGGGGTATGACAGAAAAAACTGGATAAATTATGTATATTGTATTGAAACAGATGAGGGAAAGAACAGATTAGAAGTGATATATGATTGAGTATTATGGTTAACACAGGAATCCAGATTTAAGGTTGCATAGAGAAGTGTACTGGGGTGGGGGGAAGGGACGTGGGAATTGTATACTAATGAAGGAATTTTTTTTTCTTCTTCTTTTTTTTCTTCTCTCTTCCGAGGGGGAAGTGAGCTGGTGGGGAGGGGTGGGCAGGTAAAAAATTGTGGCAATAAATGAATGGAAATCCAAAACCTCTGTTTAAAAAAAAAAAAAGACAAATCCACCAGATGCTTTGCTGGAGAAGGAGGAACCATCTCCTCCTGTACCAGTCAAATCTGATTTGACGGTACACGCACACAAATAATAAAAATAAAATAAAGTTTTAAAAAAAAGTATTACTGCAATTTTCCATAAAATAAAATTCTAAAATATATTTTTTAAAAAAATGAAACTCAGTCTGTTTCCTCCTGGGCTCTGTCTATTCTAGAACTGTGTTCAAATGAAGGCCTGAAAGTCCCAAGTCCTGCTTACAGTTCTCATTTCATGTTCTTTCATATCATTTGTAGGCAGGACGTATGTAATGAGTAGATAGTATTTCAAAATCTATTAACTTTCATGGTTATTACCACATCACTGGCCTGTGGAAGTGTGTGTGTGTAACGTACGCTTTCAGCCTATATGCACGAGGGAGTATGTGAGAGACAGCGCTACACACAGACTTGCTGGGAACCAGATTTCCCAGTAGCATTATTCAGGATCCTCCATTTCTCCGGTAAGGTTTCTTGAGTGCCTGCTATGCGCCAGGCCTGTGCTGAAGGAGACTGTGAGTTGGACATGGAACCAGCACTCAAACGTGCAGATGACACACTGGTACAGTCCTGAAAATCAGTGGGAGATCCCAGAGGAATGTTAGCCAGCATGGACTGTCAGAGAAGGAAGCCCTCCCAGAAGGACATACAAGAGGGGGTTTGGGGGCAGCCCTGGTGACCTGGGAGAAGGTAGGCAGAGAGCGTGTGACACTGAGGCACCAACTGTACAGATACAAAACAGAGGGCCTGGGGAGCTCTGGTGGCCTAGTGGCAAGGAGCTGCAACTACAATCCCAGAGGCGAACGGTTCGAATCCACCAGATGCTCTGCCGGGGAAGGAGGGACAATCTCCTCCTGTACCAGTCAGATCTGATTTGACAGTACACGCACACAAAAATAATAAAAATAAATAAATAAATAAAAACAGGGCCTGGAGAAGAGCTAGACTGGAAGGGGGTTGGGGTGGAGAGAGGTGAGCAGTGTGCAGGTTGCAGAGGACCTCAGGTCTCCTGAGGAACCAAGGGCACCATCCTGAAGTTGGGAGAGTCCTCTGAAGACAAGGTGCATGACAGGTGTGTGTTTTTGAGTGATTGTACCAGCTTCCTGTGTAGACGATGTGAGAGGAGGAGGGCAAGATGAAGGCAGGATGGTGCCCCACTCTGAGAGATGTGATGCTGGGACAGAGACACCACAGGACGTGATAACTCACTGCACATGGACACAGGGAAAGGCGGTATGAATGACACCTGGGTTCTGCCTTGCACCCTGGGAGCATGGTGGTGCCGTCTGTGGTACGAACAGAGCAGAAGCTGGTTTGGAGGAGCCATGATGAGTACAGATTAGGACATTTGAGAAATTCAAATTAAAAAGTCCTAGTGTCAGAAGTTTAAAACAGGTCGTGAGCGCAGACGTCAGGTGGCCTACTGAGGTAGCAGTGGCACTTGTAGCATGAGAGCAGGGCAGCCTGTGGAGGAACAGTGTGACGGGAGACAAGAATTCTGGACAGAAGCCTAAAAGGGGGGTGGATGGGAGAAGAGCTGGTGGGGTTCTGTCGCAGGCATCATTTGTGAGATTCTGGCCAAACCCCAAATACCTGAGAGCACTGAGGCTGCTGCCTGGAAGGCTGGAAGCCCCGCCCTTCATCAGGCACCTCGGAAGACAAGCCTTGCAAGTTGCTTTGGCGAAAAAGGCCTTAGCCTTGTAAACTGGACAGGTGAGGTCGACAACACCTGCCTGTGAGGAGAGCCCTGGAAGCTGCAAGTCAAGCAGATTGAATCCACCAGCCACTCACAGGAAAAAGGCAAAGTGGTCGGCTGCCATAAAGATCTGCAGCTTCGGAAACCCTGTGAGCGGTTCTCTCTGCCCTGTGGGGGCCAAGGGTAGCCCTGATGATGGCACAGTGGTGAAAATGTCAAACACAACTAATACTTCTCTTGAGTAACTTTTCCTGGTTAAAGGTTGTGTTCCTTAGAGAGTGAAAGGTACCCACTATGAACAGCTGCATTTGAGTCATCCATATATGTATTTCCCCCGGTTTGTAGGTTTGTATTCTTTCCCGTCATTTTCGTTTATCCACCTGTCCTCACTGCAGGTCATCACCTGTGTGCCAGTTTGTCGTACTGTGGTGACTCCTGTGTTGCTCTGATGATGGAAGTTCTGCCACAGTGTGTGCAGTGCCAGCAGGGTACCTAGGATGGGTGGATTTCAGATGAGTGTCTGAACTAAGATGCCGTAGGAAGAAAGGCCAGGCAGTCTCCTGAAAATAATCACTGACTGTTCTAGGGATCACGGAGGAATGTTGTGCTGGCTGAGTCCCTGGGTGGAGACCACAGTGGTCAAGACTGTGGACTGGAAAAAAAAAAGACTGTGGACTGAGCAGGCCTGGAGGGCACGGGGCCAGCAGCACTCCTCTGTGTGCCTGGATCACCGAGGGCTGGAGCTGACTTGGAGCAGCTTAGCAACAGCACTGGTCCCAGGGAGCAGGGCAGCCTCCCAAATGCCTTACCTGGGAAGGAAGATGCCCAGAGGGAGGCTCGGCTCTAACAGCAGAGGTGGGACTACTCCACTAACAGCTTGTCTCTGAGGGGCCCCAATCCTGCTGCACCCCCACCCGTTACACTCCATGCCCAGATCACGTCCTCTCAGCACTACCCCCAGTACGTGCCCCTCCCTGGTGGAGTGGAGTCTCCAACAAGAATGACTAGCAGCCCATGTCCCTGCTAAGCCCTGGTTGTTTATATGTCATTATGTTCACCAAAAACTTGAATCATAATCTCAGCAGTTAACAAATCCTTGAAATCTAGTGATCGGGTACATCCTGAGTAACTTCAGAAAGCTCATCATTTGAGTCTGTCCAAAAGTTTTGTTGCTGGCTGCCTTCACATCGGACCCTAACTCGTGGTGACACACCTGTTAGTACAAGTGCTCAGTAGAGTTTTCTTGGCTCTCAACTTGAGGGAAGCCCACTGCCAGCCCTTTCTTCCTTGGAGACTGCTTGCACCCCAGGCTCCTGAATTACAGTTAAACTGCTTGTTGTTGTTGTTGTTGTTGTTAGGTGCTGTCAAGTTGACTACAGCTCATAGCCAGCCTGTGGACAACACATCTGAACCTTGCCCTGTCCTGCGCTGTCCTCACGACCTAGTTCTGATGTGCTCAAGCCCACTGTTAGTCACTCTGTCAGTCCCTCTGTTGAGGGGCTCTTCTCTGCACTGACCTTTCTCCTTTTCCAGCATCGTGTCTTTTTCCAGGGGTTCACCCCTTCTGACAATATGCCTGAAGTATGAGTGGGGTGCTGTGTCACCATCCTTGCCTTTAAGGATGTACTTCCTCCAAGAGAGACTTGTTTGCTGTTTTGACAATACTCTTGTTCAACACCACAATTGAAAGGCATCTATTCTTCTGTCATCCTTATTGTCCAACATGGGCACATAGGAAGCAATTGAAAATGCCTTCATTTGGATCAGGTACACCTTGGGCTTTCAGTTGACTTTATTGTTTTTTAGCATTTTGGTAAGTTCCTTGACAGCAGATTTTCCCATTGTGACAGATCTTTTGATGTCTTGACTGCTGCTGCCATTGGTGCTGATTGTGGATCTAAGTACAATGAAATCACTGGCCACTTCAAGCTTTACTCCATCTCTCATAATGTTGTCTGTCGGTCCAGTGGTGAGAGGTGTTTTTGTCTTCTTGATGTTGAGATGTAACCCATACTGAAGACTGTCGTCTTTGGTTGTCTGCCTCAAGCACTTCACGTCCTCCTCACTTTGAGCAAGCAAGGCGTGTCAGGTGCATAGCACAAGTTGTTGTTGGGTCCTCTCCAGTCCTGGTGCCACATCCTTCTGCATGCAGTCTAGCTTCTCGAATGGTTTGTCAGCAAACAGACTGAATAGGAATAGAGAAAGGACACAGCGCTGCCACTCACCTTTTCTGATTTTATACCGTGTAGTCTTCCCTTCTTCTTCAGACAGCTGCTGCTTGGTCTGTATGTATAGGTGGCACATGAGCACAGTTACGTGTCCTGGGATTCTCATTCTTAAATTTATGTTATTCAGCCTTTGGCTTAATGACTTTATGACCGGGAGTGAAAAGTCTCGAGGCATCGTAAGGCAGAGCACTCATCATCCAGCCACGGTGGACATCAGGGGACTAGCCCCAGGAGTGTCGTTTTCACTGAGTGCCTGGGTCAGCAGCTGTGTGAGTGCAGCCTCCTCCTCCTGGTCCTTTTCTGCCCTCGGGAGGGTCACATCACATGGTTTTTGATGAGCCGGGAGGGCTGACTGGGGGTGGATATGCTGTCCCATCAACGGGCAGCATCAGGTTCCTTTGAAAGGTTTTTCATTATTATTTTCCATTTGAAAAAAAAATCCTTTCATTTCTCTGCTTTTTTTTAAGTACTTACATGCCTATTATTTATCCTTATAACCCTTTGACGTAGATAGTGAAGGAATTACTTCTAATAGCAAAACCCCATAACATGTTAGAAGGGAAATTAGCATAAACCTGCTGTCCTCTAAGCCCTTTTGGTCATTTCCTTTCCTGACTTCTGGTACCTTCTATTACTCTCTGCCCCAAGGGCTTTCTTACTGCTTTGCAGCCTGATCCCAGGGCTTCCCTGAATACTTTCAGCTCTGCCTCCCCCTAGGCTGTACTTTCTGGCATCTCTCTACTGTCAGCTCTTTATCTTCAGACTGGTCATATGCTGACCTGGAAATGCCCTCCTTTCCCCTCTCCCCCTGAACTTGATCTTCCATCCTGTCACCTCTGGAGCTCCTTTCCGACTCCACAGGGACACTAAAGCACTGACTTGAGAAGGCACTTTCCCATCCTGTTCCTTTGGAACTCCAAGCCTTGCTTTTTGGTATCTACAGGGAGAGCCACAAACACCCACCTTCTTGACCACCACGGCTTCTAGACAGGGCTCACTGCTCAGTCCCTGCCCTGCCTACATTATGGTTCTTGCACACGCATGCCACCTGAGATAGATGATACCAAAGCACCCAAGCCTGCACTGATGCTCACCCAGCCACCCTGCAGGACCGAGCAGAGCAGCCTCGGGGAGATTCCTGACATCTGTACAGAGACCAAACTGCCCTGTCTCCCACTAACAGCTGCTGAGCTCAGACCACCAGCTTTTAGGTTAGCAGTTGAATGCTTTAACGCTGTGGAGATGGGTGATGTCATTATTGTTAGGTACCGTCAAGTCATCCAACCCATCATAACCCCATGAACAACAAATTCAAACTTTCCCTCTATGTCTTCATCATGATCTCCAACATGTGCAAGCCTGTTATTACAGTCACTGGGTCAAGCCTTCCTGCTGAGTGTCGAAACACCGTAACTTTCCAATACCATAACCCTCCTACAACACCATAACCCTCCTCCTCTAGCGCTGTAACCCTCCTCCAGCACCGTAACTCAAAGGCACTGATTTTTCTTCGCTATTCCTTGTCCATCTCTCAGATGTATAGCAAGTAAATGAGGCACGCCTGATACCCTGTATCTGTCACCATGTTGCCTGTCTGTCTGGTGGTGAGGGATTTTGTCTCCTTGATACGGAGGCATCCATCTGAAGACTGTATTCTTTGGTCTTCTTCACTAAGTGTTTTGAACCAGTTCATTTTCTTCGAGCACGGTTGTCTCATCTGCTAGGACCGGCTGTTGATGGGTCTTCCTCTGTTGCAGTTTAGATCCACCAGTATCTTTAAGGAAGAAAGGCGAGCAGTTCCTTCCGCTGCAGCTTACAGCCCCTGAAACCCATTGGAGGGTCAGCTATGAATCGTTCCACTGACAGGAGTGAAGGAGGCAGGCATGTCCTTGATACTATGCAGAGATCAGTTTAGAAAATACACTACAGAATGCTGGTCTGAGCAGCGATAGATAGTTTTCTAAAATCCCTTTTTTTAGGTGGCAATCGAGACAAACAGCTTTGGAATAATTTGCAGGAAAGTTACAGTGCCGGAGCCATTATAAATATTTAGGGAAGCATTACCCTAATTTTGGGGGGATGACCAGAACATCCATTTGGTGCACTGAGCCCTGGTTTTGACCCAATATGGTCATTTGTAAGCTCTTGGGCAGCCAGAATTATAATTTTAATCCTCACGTGAGCCAGTGAATTCATGTAAGCCTGTGACTATCTTGTAATGTCTGCTTTTAGTCATAAAGAAAAATGGTTAGGCCAGAATGCCCCAGACCAAATCCAAGACAAGTTAGTAGGATTGTATTTAAAATCTAAATAGATGTATTTTTAGTCAGTTAATTGAGTGCATGTTTCCCTTCTGGGGACTGAGAATAGATTTCATTACATTAAAATTCAATTGTGACAAAAATAGGATGACCTTTTGTTATTTTTAATAATGGCATTAGGGCTTCAGAAAATAAAACCTTGAGATTTCAGTGAGAGCCTGGCATTATTAAACACACTTCAGACAAGTCTGTCCCGGGACCCCTTTTAGCGCCAGTCCTGCACACCTGTTTGCCCCACCCCTGCTGTGCAGGTTTCCCAGGGCAGGTTGCTCGGGTTACCGAGGTTAGAGTCTGGCTCTGCTGCTCCCCGGCTGTACAGGCATGCACCGGCGGAGCTTCCCTTTGCTCACCTCTGGAGGACTCGACAGATAGGCTCTCGAAGCTTCCCCAGGCCCAGAACGCCCCAGCTTTTCTGAGCTTAGAGAGCAAGTGGATGATGATTGTACTCTGCCCAGCCTCCCATTTAATAGGTGTGTGACGCTGGTACCTTCTGGACCTGGGAAGGGGGCTCCAGGGGCCTGTCCATTGAAGGAGCCTCATCTTAGGAGAGCAGGGTACCTGGGCCTCCTTGGCTTTGTGGGGACAGTAGGAAGCAGGTGGAGTGGACTTTTCTGCCAAAGCCGTCATCCTTTGGGTGAGCAGAATCGAGAGTGTGTGTGGGCTCTTACCCAGCATTCAGGGGGGGACTGGTGCTTGATAAAGGACATCATTTATCGTCTCAATTTTTCTTCTTTCAGATTGATTCCTGGTGTAAAGAGAATAGCTACGTGATTGCTGGTTACTACCAAGCCAACGAGCGTGTAAAGGATTCCAGGTACGTCCGTTGTCACCCACACTCCGTTGTTGAGAGAGTTCACGGGGCAGTTGGACGCCATCTGGCGTGTGTGTGTCCGCTCTGACCAGATCATCAGCTCCAGATGTGAAGTCTGCTCACAGAGAGCCCTCCCTGGTCTTCATCCCCTCCCCGCAGCACTTCCCTTCCCAGTGCTTGTTTACAGTGTGTGAGGGAGCCATTCCAGACAAAATTCCAAACATTTATATTTAGCTTTGGGTTCTGTTTTGTATCTTCTTTGTTTTCCGGAGGGGAACTCACACAGTGAACCCAACAAAGCTTTCAGCCTGGCCTTGCTGTCTACCCGCAAGCTAGGCACGATGGGACAGAGCACTGGGCAGGGAGAATGCTCTCCTTTGGGTAGGTAAGAGCTCTAGCTTGGTGGGTTTCTGATGTTTGCTAGTGAAGGTGAAGATCAGGTGTTTGCTTCTCCCTTTGTATGAACTCCTGGTGACTTCAGTCCACACGGTTCCCTCCCTGTGAGTCTTACTGATGTGTAGGTGGTGGCTTTCTGTCTGTGCAGGTCAGACTCCCAGGAAAGCAGGGGCATGTCCAGGGTGGGGCCATTGAGGTCTCGACACGGGTAGACCCACAGTCAGCACTCATGGAAGTGCAGCCTTCAAGAAATTAAACAGTTTGTTGCATCAGGCGAAGATGCCAAGGACCTCTGGAAGGGACTCAAGGATATCACTGACGACTAAGGTGCACTTGACCCATACATGGTATTCTTAGAAGTTGGACAGTAAAGAAATGCCAACAAAAAAAAATTAGTGCCTTTGAATTGTGTTGAAGAGTATTGAATATACCATGGATTGCCAAAGAACACACGGGCTGTCTTTGAAGGCACGCAGCCAGAAGATGGCAAGACCTGGTCCTCCATACACATCATGCTTGATAAGGTGAATGAAAGGGAAGCCCCTCAGTAGGGAGGGTTGGCACAGTGTTGTGAGATAGCAGAGATTATGAGGGTCAGGATAGGACAGGCTACCCTCCCTTCTACATGAGGACTGTGGAGTCAGAAGCAGCACAGCAACAGCTAACAGTAACGTGAGGTTTAGAGTCAGGTGGATACTGTTGTGTGCCAGCGAATCGGAACCCACCCATAGCTGACTCTCCGCTGGTTTTCAGAGCCAGTTGAGTCACACAGGAGAATTCCTGTCTTTTTCCAGAAGAACAACTAGGCCCCTGGAGACTGGGCCTCCGGCTCTAGCATCCTCGGGCCCAGTAGTCCTTTCTGTACCCTGGGAGTGAGGGCAGGGCTGTGGCCCTCTGGGCTTGGCTTACAGTCAGGGCTCCTTACTGTCACTAGTGCTATACCCACTGCTCCCACGGAAGCATCACCTGATGGTTAGCTCAGTGTTGTGAACAGATGTTTGCCGGGTGCCAGCCGGCACTCACTCAGCTTCAGGGCCATGTGTTGGTTCACTGTACGACATCATCACTGCTGTCCTGCATCTCCTGTGGGGGTGTCTCAGTTCCCTGCCTGGGGTAGATACTCAGTAAAAGGCTTGAGCTGTCAGGGACCGCCTGAGTCCCTAGCTCTGTACTCATGTGGGCAGGGTATGCCAGTATCCTGGACACTTGGGTTCCTGTGGCAGTGACAAGGCTACTCTGCTGGTAAAGGAAATGGCCAGGGCCAGCAGGAAACCAGGTACCAGCCTGAACAGCAAAGTGCAGGGGTCTTACCATCTCAGGTGACCTAGATCCTGACACGATGTAAATGTGACCACAAATGAATTGGTAATTGGAAATCTGAGACATCTTGAAGTGGTACTTTTATTTCCTTCCAAATAAAAGTTGTCCAGTAGTGTGACTGGTCTTAGGGTTAAGAGGATGAGCATTGTGAGGGCCTGGTGGCAGTAGCCTCTGTACTTTTGCTGGCATGCCCTGGCACCAGCCCTGTCCTTGTTCCATGCCTGCTCCCTGTGGGTACAGTACGCAGGGCCCAGCTGCAGTGTCCCAGCTGGCCCTGACCCATAGCATAGGGCACAGAAGTCAGCCTGGCAGAGTGCCCAGTTGTGCTGATTCTGCTCTTGCTGTGTGCTGTAGGGGCGGTTCCCATACCTCGAGGCCCAGTGACAGAGTAGAATTGTGTCATCTGGACCCCAAAGCTGTGGTCCCAGAACAGATCCGTACATTTTTCTGTCACAAGAGCTGGTAGATTTGAACTGCTGCCCTTTGGGTTAACAGTCAAACACCCAAGAACTTAACCTACCATGTCTTCTGGGCTCCTTAAATATACATAGGAACTGGTAAGCAGAGCCCAGCGTGGAAAGGCCACCCACACGGACAGGGCAAGTGAGGGAGCAGGCACGTAGAAGTGTGAGCTCCCATGAACAGGAAGGGCTGCCAGAGTCTAATGGGGCAGAAAGATCCCAAAAATTGGGGTGCCAGTGAAGGAATCCTCTGAGAAATCCAGGCCAGGTGGTAACCCCAACAAGACAAGTGCCTGGAAGTGTGCAGGAGACCAGGCAAGAAAAGGTCCTCTAGTACTGGGGGATGATAGCAGCCCCACCACTGGGGAATGATGGCATCAGAGAAGAAATGGGTCTGCAGTGGGCTTGAGCCACTGGCCTTTAAGGCTGGCAGATCTGACCTTTCACATCCTCAGTGGGCCTTGAGGTGGAGACTCCACAGAGGCTTGTGGGCAGAGGATGGGCTCCACTGAGCCGGGAGTGGGGAAGCGAGAGGGCTTCATGAAACTGTGTGTTGGGTTTTTTCCCAAAACATCATTCACATTTGAAAATAGCAATGGCCTCATGAGGAGAGAGGCTCAGTGGGTCCCTGCAGGAGGCCGGTGTGCAGGACGTAGGCTGAAACCTGAGACAGGATGGGGCAGACGCAGAGCTGCGGGTTCCCACAGGAGGCCAGTGTGCAGGACATAGGCCAGACTTAAGACAGGATGGGGCAGGTGCAGAGCTGCGGGTCCCCACAGGAGGCCAGTTTGCAGGATGCAAGCTGGATGGGGCAGGCGGAGAGCAGATGAGTAGAGATCTGGAATGGCTAAGGGTTTTTTACAATTTCCAGGTGCCTTGATTACCAGCTGCTGTGAAGTTTCTGTTATTCGCAGGAGACGACAGTGGCATCAGCTTTGTTGGTGCACAGGGAGAGGACGCACTCAGAGGGCACCGGGAGTCCCCTCTGCAGACCCTCACACTCGGGCTTACTGGTGTGGTATGGGGGCCTGCCCTGGCTCCCTGTCCTTGTGGGTCATCACAGCAGGGCCATGGTACCGAGCATCTCTCATGTGGGCACAGCGAGTGGGTGCTGCTGGTTGGCACTGCAGTCGTCTTATTACTCCTTGTTGATTCTGAAGGGTGTGCCGCATGGAGGACGGCCCTTGGCGCTCAGGGCTGACACCGTGATTGCGGCCCAGCAGTGGTCGTGAGCAGCGTGCAGGCCTGGGCAGGGTTTTATTCAGTTGTCCCGCAGGTCGTTTATGAGCAGACCGATGACCCCTCGCAGTGGCTGATGATGGCATCAAGCAGATGTTGTGAATAGCGTTAGTGGGACTTGGAGAACTAACGGTTTTTCTTCTGTAGTCCAAACCAGGTTGCTGAGAAGGTGGCTTCCCGGATCGCTGAGGTCTTCAGTGACACGGCCCTTATCATGGTAGGTCCATGGGCTGCCCCGCGGCTCCTGCTAGGTATATGAGGACATGTTTGCCCCCAGACCCCTGCAGCCTCACACGGTCTACCTCTGGCAGCAGACCTTCCCACATCAAAGGATTGCCTGCTTTCAGCATTTCCTGGAAGCCGTGTTCTCAGTGAGAAGGGCTTTGTGAATGAAATAAGATTGTTTGACATCACGGGAATTTCGTAGGGTCAGTGGGACGTGTCCTGGGTCTCTGATGATGTTGCTGGTAGGGTGAGATCTGTTTCTTCACAGTCCCAGTCCTGAGCCCCACCAGATGGCAGCGCTCCCGAAGGTGGGGTATCAGCCTCCCATGAGCCAAGTGGAAAACAGCAAGGGGAACTAACTTTGTGTCCCTTGGGTCACAGGCTGTGGTTTAAGGACTGCAGCTGTCGCAGCATGAGGACATCCACAGGGGCTGTGCTTGTAAATCGATGACCTTCAGTGAGGCCCTGACAGGGTCACACCACCCTTGTTAGACATGCAGGACTCGGACCCCCGAATCGGCCCATGGGCTCTGTGAGCATTGCCACTGAGAGCCACCAGCACAGCCAGTGAGGTGGGGAGATGCGGACACTCACGTGAGCCCATCGGGGCTTGTTAACAGTCTCGGTACTGAGAATTCAGAGCGTGAGGGCCTGAGTCCTGCATAGAGGTTAGAAGGCACCACAGGCACTGTGCATCAGGTGGGGTTTATCCAGAGGGCCCTTCCTATTGCCCTGGCCCACACACAGTCCTCATTGTGATCCCACCTCCTGAGCTGCTCCTAGCAAGGGAATGGGGGGTGGTCCTATGAGGCTGTTCTCTGCTAGAGAACAGTGACGGTGGGTCCCATGAGGCCGTCCTGCTGTGGGGGTGGGGGTGGGGGAGATGTGGAGAGCATGAGGTCATCCTGTTCAGGGGGTGGTATGGAGGGCATGAGGTCGTCCTGTTCAGGTTGCGGGGAGGGCATGAGGTCGTCCTGTTCAGGGGTTGGTGTGGAGGGCATGAGGTCGTCTGGCTCTAGAGGACGGGCGTTGGGGGGAGGGCATGAGGCCGTCCTATTCGGGGGGTGGGGTGGGTGTGGAGGGCATGAGGCCATCCTGCTCTAAAGGATACTGAGGACCCAGGGAGCAGTTCTGTCACATGAGGTTACAAAGAGTTGGAATGAGGTCCACTGCACTTGCTTCCTATTCTGCTCTGAGGGAGCAGTCAGGAGAGGCGCCTGCCCCTGCCGATCTGTGCACTCACTTTGCGTCCTTCACCCTGGCCCAGGTGGACAACACGAAGTTCACAATGGACTGCCTGGTGCCCACCATCCACGTGTACGAGCACCATGAGAACAAGTGGCGGTGCCGAGACCCTCACTAGTGAGTGCTGCCCCCCAGGGCCACCCAGCCAGCCCAAGCCCAGGGCTCTGGAGCAGGGAGAGCCCCATCACTTCCGGGTCCCGTCACCCTGGACCCAGCAAGTCTCCCCTCTCTGAATTCAGAGAGGACTTTGAAGTACCACTTCTTGGTCCTTTCACACCTGGTCCCAGGAGTCGGCCCTCCTTCTGAGCATGGACGAGCCCCATCACTTGCACGTCCTCTCTGCTCAGCACCCAGGGAGTCTCCCCTTTCTGAGCATAGAGAGGACATTAAAGTACAACATCCAGGTCACCCCTGGCCCCAGAGAGCATTTGAGAAGACTGCAGATCACTTCCGGGTCCAGGGAGCCTCTCCCGCCAACTTGAGCCCTCTGTCCGGCATGTGGTTAGGATTTCTTGTCCTCATTCTGAAAGCCTCCGCCATCTTCCTCCACTATTTCAAGATTGTGTTTAGTAGTATCTCCTCCATGGGCTGGCCATGCTTTATCATTTTTGTGTCTGTCTTTCTGTCTGTGTGTGCTTGTACATACTTCCCAGTGCTCCTGCCTGCCTGCCTTTCTCCTGCTCTGCACGCTGTGGTGTCTTCTCTGAGAAGCCCCCAGCTGCACTCATGGTTAGGGGACTAACATCTCCGTCTTTGGCCTCCTAGTGATTACTGTGAAGACTGGCCCGAAGCCCAGCGGATCTCGGCCTCACTCCTGGACAGCCGGTCCTATGAGGCCCTCGTGGACTTCGACAACCACTTGGACGACATTCGGAATGATTGGACAAACCCAGAAATCAATAAAGCAGTTCTGCACCTGTGTTAGGAACATCTACAGACTGGAGAAGAAAACATTTTTAAATGTAAATAGAATCACTTAGCCTGAGTGGAAGGCCTGTGTGCGGAGCCGTGGAGGGAGGGCCGGGGTCTGCGCAGTGCATCTCGGATGCTCTGGAGCCGCAGAGAAGCAGGCGGGCCGCCCTGTGGAGATCCTCCCCATTGTACGTTGCTGTAATCTTCCAGATCAAAGCTATTTCTGTTTATCCATGATTGTTCCTATTAAAGAGTTTTAACTAACCTTTTATAATCTGGAGAGAAGAATACTTTCTAAAGGTCTTGAACTTCCGTGTTTTTTAAAAAAGCCTGCTTCTTAAACCTAATGAGTATTAGTGAGTTTTGTGTTGTCTGAGACAGCATCATTTGTTCAAGACCAGCGCAGCACCATTACACCAGACAACAGGCTTATGAAGGTTCACCACCTGTGCCTCTGGTTCCACTTCCTCTAAGACAGACTTGTGTGTTCTTTTGCAGTCTATAGGATATACTTTTCTCCAGCTCAACTCAAAGGCATTGATTCTTCTGTCATCCTTATTTATTGTCCAACTTACAGGTACACAAGAAACACGTGAAAATATCCTGTCTTGGATCAGTCACACGTCACTCTTTAATTTGGCATCCTTGCTCTTTGCCATTTTGGAGAGGTTTCCCAGTGCACCACATCTTTTGATTTCTTGACTCCTACCATGGGTAATATATATATATATAATAAGTATATTAGGCCTAGTAGGAGGAAGCTATACTGCAATCCCAGAAGCATACAGTCAGGGTTTTACTGTGTACCATCAAGTTAGAACCCACCCGTAGCTAACCCTCCAGCAGGTTTACGGAGACTGTCAGTTGTACAGAAGGCAATTACCCATCCTTTTCCCACAGAGCAGCTGGTGGATTTGAACCATGTGCCTTATGGTTGGCAGCACATCTCCTTACCACTAGGGCACCACCGTGTGTGTGTGTGTGTGTGTGTGTGTGTGTGTGTGTGTGTGTGAGAGAGAGAGAGAGAATATGCACATATCGGCAGGAGCTGGTTGCCTCTAAATTTATATAAGAAAACAGATTTATTTAAAACTGAAATGAAGGTGGCACAGAATAGGACAAGGTTCAAATTTTATTCATTGGTTTGCTAAGAATTTTAGTCAACTTAATGACCTCTAACAACAATGACATTTCATTTCTTTAGGACACAATTTAGGAGTCTTGGTAATTTACTTTTTTAGGTCTGTTTCTGTGGATGTAGTATTTTTAAGTGTCCTGAAGGTAAAAGGTCTCAGTGTAATTTGATTTCATTTGCTTGGCCAACTTATTTTTCTGGTTGACAGATTTGAAAATGCTATTGTTTCTTTATACGGCATTTCTCAGCTTTCTCACCCACTTTTTTATCTTACCTGATAAAAGAACATAGTTGTTTCCAGCATGGTCCCTGTTTGCCATTTCTGTTTGCCTCACTCCTGGTGACACGGCAAGGTGTTAGGTGCCGTCGAGTCACTGTGAGCAGCTGACCCTGTGGACGACAGATCTGAACCGGTCCTGCTCTTTGCCGTCCTCACCGTCTCCGACATGCGTGAGCTCTTTGATACAGTCACTGTGTCATTTCATCCTGTTGAAGGCCTTCCTCTCTGCCTCTCACCCTCCACCTTTAGCAGCAGGATGGCTTTTTCCAAGGACTGACCCCTCCTGACAGCATGCCCAACATATGTGAGATCTGTTTGCTTCAACATTCTTACCTGCAAGGAATATGCTGGCTGCACGTTCTCCGAGACATACTTTTTGGCAGTCTGTGAGATACTCAGTACTCTTCTCCAACACCATAACTTGAAGGCATCGGTTTTTCTTTCATCATCTTTATTCATTGCCCAACTGTCAGACGCATAGCAAGTGATTGATTGGAAAGACTGTGGCTTGAACTCGGCACACCTTGGTCTTTAAATTGACATCTGTACTCTTGACATTTTGCAGAGATCCTTAACAGCAGGCTTTCTCGGTCCAACACATCTTATTATTTCTTGACTGCTGGTACCAAGACTGTTGACTATAGATTTCAACAAGGTGAAATAATTGACAATTAAAATCTTTTCTCCATCTGTCATGAGGGTGCCTATTGGTCCAGCAGTGAGGATTTTGTTTTGATATTGAGATGTAATCCATATTGAATGATGTCAGTTTTGATCTTACACAACACACATTTCAGGTCCTCGGTTCAAGCAAGGTCGTGTCATTTGCATAACAGATTGCTGAACCTTTTTTTTATCCTGATACCACATTCTTCATAAAATTTAAAGTCAACAAAGATATGTGTCAGGACTGTATCCTTTCTCCAAAGCTAGTCAGTCATGACAAGTGGGAACCAGAAAAAATAGCTGTAGGCATTAGTCGTGTGTGTGTGTGTGTGTGTGTGTGTGTATGAGAGAGGAGGATGAATTTAAAAATAGACTTCTGCCTTTCTACAAAGATGGTGCCAAAAGCAAAGAAGGAAGCCCCTGCACCTCCCAAAACTGAAGCCAAAGCAAAGGCATTAAAAGCCAAGAAGATATCCTGACGGGCATCCACAGCCAAAAAAACCCAGAAGATCCGCACATCACCCACCTTCTGGTGGCCTAAGACCTGAGACTGAAGGCAGCCCAAATACCCCTAGAAGAGCGCCCCCAGGAGAAAAAAGCTTGACCACTGTGCCAGCATCAAGTTTCCCGTGACCACAGAGTCAGCCATGAAGAAGATAGAAGGTAACAACACACTTTTGTCCACTATGGATGTCAAGGCCAACAAGCACCAAATTAAACAAGCTGTCAAGAAGCTCTGTGACATTGGTGTGGCCAAGGTCAACACTGATTAGGCCTGATGGAGAGGAGAAAGCCAATATTCAACTTGCTCCTGACTATGATGCTTTGGATGTTGCCAACAAAATTGGGATCATCAACTGAGTCCAGCTAGCTAATTCTAAATACAAATTTTCTCAACAATAAAAAAGAAAAATAGGCTTCCACTTTGCTAATTGACATTTCTCACGGCTTTCCATCAATCGTGTGCCCGTGTTTACAGTTCAGTATAAAGCTGCGCAGAACGTGTCCCTCCGTCTGCTCCTGCCAGCGCTCAGGACCCTGACTTCTGAGCATTTGGGGATCCAAGGAAGAATGTCATCGTTACTCTTGAGTGGCTTGGCCTATCACCCCTCAGGAGGCTTCATGTGCCTTTGAATGGGGCCCAGAATCACTCACTCTCACTTGCTCTTAGAAACCCGTTGCCGTCCTCTGCACCTTTCTCTCCGCAAGGACTTGGTCCTCCTCGAGCGTATTTCCTTCATGACTGCCGAGCTGCAGGTGGAGACGAGATCAGAGTTGGTTCAGAGGATGAGTGAGAGCACACCCAGCCGTATAGCCCCACGAGAAGCCACATCGTTGATCTTTCCCTCGGAGCAGCATGGCAGGCGCTCACAGGGCACTTGGCTAGACCTCCGAGGAGCCTTCAGCTGGCAGCTGTGTTGTCCTGCAAAGCAGGATAAACTGAAAACCAAAGTGATGGGTGTCAAGTGGCTCTCACGCAGAGTGACCCTGTGGAAAACTGCTTTTCATCGAGTTTGCTTTCTGACATAGATCACCAAGCCTTTGTGCCAAGACGTTCAAGCATCCAGCCTCAGCAGCCAAGTCCGTGAACCATTTGCACCATTGAGGGACTTCCACAAAGCGTTCTGTTGTGACTCGGAGTGACCTGTGAACAGCAGATCTGAGCCCTGTCCTGTCCTGTGCAAGCCTCACCATCTGACGCACCTGAGCCTTTGCTGCAGTCACTGTCGGTCCAGCTCATTGGGAGTCTTCCTCTTAGACTGACCCTCCACTATTCCAAGCACAATGTCCTGTCCAAGGAATAGTCTCTCCTAGCAGCATGCCCAAGGTATGTAGAGGAGGTTCTGCCATCCTAGCCTCCAGGGAGCACCCCGACATCACTTTGTCCCCGGCATGCCTGCTCTTTCGGTAGTCCACTTCAGCGCTCTCTAGTACTACAGCTCAAAGGCATCAACAATTCTTCTGGCTTCCTTATTCATGGTCCAGCTTTCAGATGTCAGTAAACCTGTAAGGAATTGCATTTGAGGTCATGCGTGAAGGTCTGTGGGTAAGATCCTGCCTCACACCCCCACAGTCCTTGGGGAGTCAGCCCAGGAGGCTGCATTCCACCACGAGGGGCTGAGCCCCCTAGGTGCTGAGGAGCTTTTTTTTTTTAACAGATTTATTCTCTTGGCATAGGAGGCTTGGAATCCAAGTTCAAGGTGCCAGCCAGCCAGCTTGAGGGGAAGGCTTTCTCTAATTTCTCACAGTTCTGAAAGAACGTCTTCATCTCCTTTCAGGACCTGTGGGCCTGGTGTTCAGGGGTGACTCATCTCCATGTGTGTTGCCACTAATTTTCGCCTGAAATCTAGAAAGTTATCAGTGTGAGGGACAGGGACCCCTTCACTCCCAACTCCTCTCTGTGATTGTAAGGGATTGGATTGTGTCCTCAAAAATAACATGTATATAATGATGCCCATGATCTGATAAAACCGGAGAGTTGTAGGAGGATTATGAGTGGGATACAGCACTGCCTAATCCCATCGCAGCCCTAATCGGATGTGAACGCAGCTCCCCGAGGGTGTGGCCTGTGAGAACTTTCATCTCACTAGAGATGAAAGGGGAGGAGAGGGAGCTGGGGGGACCTCAGGACCACCAGGAACTAATCTCCAGGAGTGGAGGGTGTCCTAGACTCGGGTGCCCGTGCTAGGAGGCCCCCTGACACTAGGGAAGGCCAGGCCTACGGGTGCTGCAGGAAACAAAGACTTGCCCACCTATGGCCGAGAACCTTCCCTAAGGCTGGCACCCTGAATTTGAACTTGAAGGTCCCTAAACTCCACGTGGCCAGTATACAACAACCCCAGGCTATCCCCTCCACATTTACCTTGTTACTCAGTGTCCAGTCTTCTAGGAAGTTGAATGTTTTCAAGGAGAGAGTCCTCTCTTTGCTCGCC